GCCCCCATTCATACGCTGAAGTCCTAACCCTCAGTACCTCACAGTGTGACCTTATTTGGAAATAGGATCATTGCATATGTAAGTAGTTAAGATGAGGTCATTAGAGTGGGCCCTAATCCATTCTGATTAAAGTCCTTATAAAAGGGGAGAGTTTGTCTGAGACATACACAGACAGGGAGCGCGCCATGTGAGCACGAAGATGGCCATCTCTGTAAAGCCAAGGAGAGAGGGCTGGGACAGATTCTCCCTCCCAGCCCTCAGAGGGGATCTCAACTCTGCTGACACCATGATCTCCGACTCCCAGCCCCAGATCTGTGAGACAATACATTTCCGCTGTTACGTTGCTCAGTCTGTGGTACTTTGTTATGGCAGTCCTAGCACACTCAGATCTCTCTGCTCGCGGGGAGAATCCGAAGTAAAGCAATGGGTGCATCTTATTTTGGTTGATGTCACCATCCTGAGAGAGGCAGAGAGAAAGAGGAAACCAAGGAACACCTTTGCTAAAGCATCCTCTCCGGGAAGTCCTTCCTGACTCACTCCCATGCCTCCCTCAGGCGGACCTCACTGTGCGCTGGCACCCACCGTCCTGTCATGTTGCTGTCACAGCTACAGAGACACATTTGCACATGTTTGTTTGCATGTCTCCCACTTCCAGAACAAATGCTCTCCTGCAGCAGTTACTCAGTGAATGTTTGGTGAAGGTGAGAACCGGTGTTGTGCTGGAGATTGCTATCCTCCTCCCCGACTTTAAAAAACACAGCTTCTGTTAGCTAAGCGATTGGATGCCCAGTTGGGGGCTACCACTCCCAGTCACCTCACAGCTTTGTCTGACTACCCTCTTGCCACGGGATGTGATCAAAATGGATGTGTTCTTCCAGTAATACTCCTAACACAGGAATGGACGTGGGCTCCCCTGGCCTTTGTCCCTTACCGCTGGCTGGGGAATGACAACAGTTACAGTAGTCACCTTGGACCAGAGATGGGAGCCTCATATTGAGGCACTTTAGGCCATCCAGGCCACCTGCCTCTGGATTTTTCTGTGAGAGAAAATGAACTTCTTTTTTAAGGCACTGCGGTTTGGGCCTCTCTGTTTCAGAGGCTTAGCTTCTATCCTAATAATATAACTCCTTACTCTGATTTCACAAGAAAAAGAGGGTCTTCAGGGTCCCTGACATGGGGGTGTGGCCCCTCAACCTTGAAAAGGGCACATGCGGGGTCCAGACTCTCATGCTACCCTCCCTCGAGGCAGCAGGCTTGGTCTGTCTTCTGCACAGTTTGCATAGGCATATGGCTCCCTATATCTCCTCAAGGGAACAAAATAGGATCTTCACACCCTTCCTGTCTATCTAAAAAGAACAATCACGATCCACTGACCAAGACAGACAGTAGGAGAATGAGTCCTCTTCAGAGTTAACCAGCGAGAGGATATCTGCAAGCGCTGGTGGAAACTGATAATTCCAAGTGGCATCAGGCCCCAAATAGCTCAGTGCCTGCACCACAAGACACGGGCCTGGAAGTCTGCTTGTTCTTCTTGGAAAGCGCAGGCCAGCCCACCCCAGCTCCTGGTAGATCCATCCATCCAGGCGAAGGGGTGAGGTGTGGGGACTTTTGACATGAAAGATGGCAATGTGTATCTCCTCTGAAGGGACACCTTTCACATCTAAAAAGAATCAAGTTCACAAAAATATTCTCACTTAGGGCAGACAGGAAAGGTGAGAATTCTGGCAAAATGCTACAGAAAGGACATAAAATGGGGTTAGAGGTGTAGGAAGGACAGGAAGCCCTGCTCCATTAGCAATGGGAAGGGGACCCAAGAGTAAAGGGGAGGGGACTGGATCCTCGGATCTGGGCCACCAAGAGTTACTAGAAACAGGTGGCCTCAGAAAAACTGGCGGGCGCATGAGTCAGGCGGGTTAGGAAGTCAGGCCTGGTGGGAAAGGGCAGGTGAAGGGTAGTGTCCCAGGGAAGGGGAGTCCTCCCTCTATTTTTGGAGGGTGCTTTCCCAAGATAAGGGAAAAATGTGATCACCGACGAGTCTCTCTCCCTAAGCAGCACTGACTTGGTCTTGGCAGCCAGAATTTAAGCCCAGTGAAGGCTGAAACTGTAAAAACACAAAAGGAGTAATTGAAGTAGCCTCACACTGAACTTTTAACAGAGCCCCCCGGTCAAAGAAGAGCGAGGGCTGGAAATGACCAGGAGTGATGCAACTGAGAGTGCCTTGCTTGAGGCTCAGTGCTTTTAAGGCTCTGTCTCGTGTGGATGCAGTTGCCCAACACCACAGCTAAGAGTTTGCCCTTTCATCTTTGGAGAGATACAATCCGCAACCTGACAGAATTTTGGCAGAAGCAATTAGCTCATGAATTAGTTATCAAATATCTCAGGCAGCCAACGTCTTAGGAGTGCTGATCTGCATTCTTCCCCAAGGAACTTCAGGACAAAAGGGTAGGCCATCTGCTCCATTTGCATTAGGGATTTTAGCCAATCTCTCCATCCTTCCCCACACCCTGCCACCAAACCCTCACAACGCTTCCCCCTCCGCCATCACCCTCGCCATCACCGTGGTCTGCCTTCCTCACCTTCTCTGCCAGACTACCCTCCACCTTTCAAAGCTCACCTCCCCACAGATCTCCCTCTCATTCACCCTGCTCATTCACTGGTCTTGCTGCCTCTGGAATGGAATGTGCCAGGCTGATCCCACCTCAGGATGGTAAACTCCCGGATCCCTCTGTCTGGAATGCCCTTTCCATATAACGGTCAGCATGGCTGCCTCCCTCACTCTCCTCAGACGTCTTGTCAAATGTTATCTTATAGCAGGGAGTCCTTCCCTTACCCCCTTGCTCCCTGTACCCTGGAATGCTCTTATTTCTCCCCTAAAATACTCATAACCATTGATATATGATATATCTGCTTGCTTGTTTGCTTGTGGTCTGACTCCCTATATTAGAGAGCGAGTAGAATCCCGGTAAGTACGTCCCCTGTTTTGTTATTCCCCTGTTGAATGAATGATCCATAACTTGAAATCCAAAGGAAGAAAGTGATGATCTAAATCTGCAAACCATCGCCGCCTCTATGATGTATGGAACAAAGACAACTCTACCTTTAAATTGCTATTCAGCAAGTGCCTCACATCCATTCAGCTGCCAAGTTCTACAGGTTCTCCCCCTGAAATCCCTCCCTCCCTCCCACTCTTCCACCAACTGTTGTTGATTGAATACAGTTTACTGGGTGCCAGGCATGATCTTTTACATGGTTCTCATCTTCCTATTCCCACTACCACCCCTCTAGAGGAAGCCTCACTACCTACTATTGGGCCAAACGTGAGACTTCTGACCCACTGTCCCTGCCTCTTCTCTCCTTTTTTGGTCCATCTCTTAGACACTAGATGAATGTCACTTTCCTTCCATGCTCAAAATTCTGCAGTGACTCTCTATCGCCTATTGAATTACATAAGGCTTACTTATCCCAGCTTTGAAGACCCTGCATAAAATCTCAGGCTACCCATGAGCTCCATCTACTCCTATTTTCAGAATATATGCTTTAGCTAAACTAGCCCACTCATTATTTTTTGAATGTGCCCACATGCTATTCCCATCTCTGAAAATAATACCATTTCTCTCTGTTCAAACTCTACCTTCTAAAGGCACTTTTTTTTTTTTAAGATTTTATTTGTCAGAGAGAGAGAGAGAGAGTGAGTGAGTGAGAGCACAAGCAGGGGGAGCGGCAGACAGAGGGAGAAGCAGGCTCCCCGCTGAGCAGGGAGCCCAATGCGGGTTTCGATCCCAGGACCCTGGGATCATAACCTGAGCCGAAGGCAGATGCTTAATAGACTGAGCCACCCAGGCGCCCTCTAAGGGCACTTTTAAATGCCATCTCTGTGCACCTTCCTACCCAATGCAGCCTCTCCCATTTTTGAACTTCTATGACACCAGGTTTATATAGTTCTTAAAATACCTGCCATATTCTTCCCTTATGTATGGTTATATGCAAAGGTTCCTTATCTCATCCAATAAAGCACATTGGAAGGTGAGGATGGGATTTCCTTTATCTTTTTTGCCCCCTCAGCAGCAGCTCAACTAGAATCTTGCCCAATACACATGCTCACTTGCTATTTCCTGAATTACATTTTTAAACACAGTGCATCATACTGTGCCAGGTGCTCAGACTTTAGAAGAACGGGGTGCAGTGTTTGCCCTACAGGAATTGACAATCTGGTTATGGAGACAAGACTGCTTACATAAAATTGCAATTGTTCAACTTTCAGCAAGGAATTATTGAGCATCTACTGTGTGCCAAATATGATGCAAGGTAGTATATAATGGTTAAAATTAGTAATGTAAAAATAAATACTAACCAAGGCAGATTCTAGGTGTGAGTGGCTTACCCCAACACTTACTAAATTCCAACTTTGGTTTGATGAAGCAAGAAATGACAGGCTTACCTGGTGAGGTGGCATGTTCCAGGTGGCCCAGCTCAGGTTGTCTAGTGATGATATAGATCAATTCTGTAGGCTTACTCTCCTGGTCAGTGGCAGAGAGCTGCAGAGTGGTGATTTTCTCCACTGAGTTCTCATCCAAGACCAGCCCTTTGTTGGTGGTGATGACTGGTGGGGAATTGTCTTCTGAAAATATCAGAAACAGTGATTTGAAAGGGGATCCTTTCAACCTCCTTTCTTCAATTCTGGGCCTGGTGCCCAGGAGTAAAATCAGAATAATCCTTAGGCCTGTCCCTCAGAGAGTGCCCCAAGGAGCCAGAGTTTCACACAACAGAGGGCATAGGATTCCAGATTCCCATGTAGCTCGGTAAAGGAAAGACTCCAGCCTCAAGGCAAGCACGGTGTACGCTATATAACCTCAGACCTGCTGGAATATTTTTAGAAGCCCAAAGTCCCCTTACCCAAAACACTGATAGAAAATGACTGGCCAATCAGCGTGTTGCCTTCTCCATCGACCACATCGAATTTAAAAGCAAACCTCCCGCCAGATTCTCCTTTCCCGTGTCTGTATTCTACTTGGCCTGTAAAAAAGGACAAGATAATCAAGATTTGCTCTTAGTGCTTTCTGCCCTTATTTCTCAAGTGGGAAGTGGGGATCTGATTGGTATTCACACCAATGAATCAATTAACACCTTCCTCACTTTGACATTGCTTTAGCCATTTTAATCTAAAGTTTTCAATTCCTCCCTTCCCCTCCCACTACTGGCTTCCTCATAATCAAAAACACTCTCATAATAAAACCATCCCAAGTAGCACTGCCTATGGTTTGTGAAAGACTCGAAGGAAGTCTCATGAGTAAGCACATGGGAAATGTGCAGTGACGGCTCCCACATCATTGGCCATATACCCACGTCATGGGGCCAGAGACGTGGAGCTGTGGCCCATATTCTCCCAGAGCTCGTCACTCCCATTTCTCAGTGCAGCTTTAAGTCATTTTTGAAACAGCACTGAGTATAACCAACCAACAAATTAACAGATAAACTCTACATATTAGTCAAAAGGATCCAAAGGGAGAAGTGCAAACTCTTCCATTTTCGTTCAGCCACAGTTATCACTTCCAGGTACCTCGCAATGTAAATATAACCAAACGTCTGGGGAAAGGCACCCGGTCTCATTTTTACAAGAGACACTGAGGCAAGGAATAATTAAGGAATTACCATCCCTTTGTCTATTCCACCCCCTTCAGTAAAGTAGAGAGAGTCCAGGGAGAATTCACCTGCTACCCATGTTGAGTGTTAGTGCATGGACAAGACCCTTATTTCTACTCCTCAGGGCCATATTTCCACCTCTAAATGGAATTGCACATCCTCCCATGACTTTGGATTACTTTTCCCCCCACTATGTAACTCCCCCCCCTTTTTTTAACCCCTAAAAGAACTATACAGTAACTACGTAGCATTTAACATTTATGCTTTTACATTACATCAGCACTTCCTGGAGGAGGGATGAGCTATGTAATCTCCCCCAGGCAGCTCCGATTTATGCCCTTCCATTTTGCTTAGTTCATTAACTTGTGCTCTTGGGGGAGCTGAAAAGAGATATAAATTGTTCACCTAAGGCAGGCATAATTTTCACCTTAATCCATCCCAATTCACTTCTTTTTCCTTGTCTCTCTCACACACACTTTTTAGCATCATAGCAAGTCAAAATGATTCTTTTTCTCCATAATAGCCCCACATTTCATCAATGCTATGTCAAAGCATGAACACATTTTAGCCAAGGATAGTTTTTTTAAAAACAAAAAATTGAGGAGACAAGAAAGAATAAATGAAACTATAACTCAGCTCTTATTCAGAACAAAGAGTGCAGTTTACTGCCATAAGCTACCAGGCATTTAACTCCCATTTACTACTGTGGGTGGATTCTGTCGAAGTCTGGGCAGGCGCAGGACAGCTAGCTGACCTTGGCTAATGTCAGCCTGAGTGAAACTCCGGATGGGGCCTTTCACAGAGATTTGCTCCGGGTTGCCGTGCTTTGCCATCTGCAGGCGCCCCGCGCCAGGATCTTCCTTCATGATGTACATCACCTGACGGTCATCCGAATCAGTATCTGTCACTCTCAAATGCTGTTCTGTGATGCGTGCTACAGACCCTGGAAGAGAGTGGGAGGGAGGAGGTCATTGCCCATCATTGCCTTTGAATAGGATGTCAAGGGATTTCAGGAGACTAGAGACTAAATGATCACACACTGCCTGGGTTTAAGTGAATACCAGGTGCTTGCCCTTCTCGGTTTCCAGCTGCATAAATTTTAATTTCCCTAAGTGAAACAATCCCAACCTCCCAATTTGTTAATCCTCCCTTGGGTTTAGACCTGAGCCCTTTTCTCTGCTGATCCATTTTCACTCTCCCTGCTCCATGCTCACTCTACTCCTGTGACCTATCAGTTACCCCCTCCCTAGATCAATGTAATAATTCCTAGATCTTTGGTGAAGCCTTCTTGGACCTAACTTATTTACTGTCTTGAGGTTCACTAAATCATAAGCAACAGCTTTACCTAAACTTATAAACATACCTTGTTGCCATCTCAAACCAAAGAGTTAAAATCAATGTTTACAGGATTATAAAACAGGGGGCTCTGAGTGCTAGGCCCTGTAAGGCTCTGCAGGTTGTTGGGGATGGAGGCGAGACACTAGCAATTGGCAAACACCTCTTTTCGGGGCCTTGCCCCTTGCTTTCCTGTCCAGCTCATATTAAGAACAGTAAATTCTGGTAAAGTAGATGCTAGTCATTCATGTGTAATACATTCTAGTGTTTGGCTGGGCCCTGTGTGTTCTTGCTGAGTAATGCCAACAATGCAAGGCCTAACTATTCTTTCCCCAGGCCATTTTCACCAAGCAGCCCAGAGGGATGGAGGTGATAATCTTCCTCTGGGACAAAGATCAGGCTTGCTTATTGTTACTATAACAGGGGAAGTTCCCCCAGGCTCAGCGTTCCTCCTCTGTAATGCATCTCATTGCGTGTGAAGGCATCTGTCTGGGCCTTCTGCATCACCCACACCAGACTTGGAGTGCAAAGGGAAACGATACAAACTTGCTGATGGCAATGCTGCCCCTCGTGCTGTGAGGAACAAAGCATTTGGTCTCTGACCCAGGAGTCTCATGTCTTCTATCAGCACCCATGAAACACTAAGAGGCTAACTTTCTGCTTATAAATAGGGGAAAGTTAAATCTCAGATCTAATAATGGGGACTTTTGGGAATCTCCAAATTTTCAAATACCAGTATGCCATATAGTTTTCACTACAAGATACATGTGAAACTAAGAGTAGATAAACAAAGAGGACTCCAGTGGGATGCAGATGTTCTGGGGGGAAAAGGCCCACTCCCTAATTAAGTAACTTCCTACTGCAAACCGACTTCAAGACTGACACACGTCACAGGTCCTTCAGGTGCTGCTTACATACGGGCAAACTTGCGAATGTTACACCCTAGGATTACCATATCTAGTGAATCTCAATTATTTTTATAAGCTCTTTTAGTGCATAATGGCTTCTGAATTGTCCCCCCGCCCACTTTTTTTGTTTTTTTAAATAAACACCTGGAAAATTCTGTTGGATTTCTTTTGCTGTTGTTGTTTCCTGCAGAGTTGGCTGGGCAATGGCCATGTTCTAAGAAACCCATCCCTATGAGTAGCTGGATAAATTAAGGTTTTGAGGACCCTGGAAGTACGACAAACTCTTCTCAATCTCTTCCCAAAATCACAGACAGGCATCTGGTCCAAAGAATTTAAGAGATTTACATTAGTCACTCACAACTCTTAGTATCCTTAAAAGAATAGCTCTCCCCACCTCCGGTCTCTCTGAGTTCTGAACGCCTACTTCCATACCGTCCCACAGAGCTAACATGTGCACTGACAAAGAAGAAATAAGGACAGAGGACCACAGACACTCTCTTCCATTCCTGTGGTACCTGCTGAGAGCTGGAGGCCTCGGTTTACAGCCAAGTTGGGGGCGCTACTTGTAGGCAGCTCTATGTATATCTCCATCCTCCCCGTGTCCATGTGCAGGCCATCCGTGAGGGAGAACTGGAACTCATCCACTGCTACCCCGGGTCCACCAGGCATGTACCCGACCAGCCCGGCCAGGACATCCTGGTAGGTGAAGGAGGAGCCTTGAGTTAAAACCCTCCCATTCTCCAGGGGCTCAGAAGCAGTTTGCCTCCAGAGCAGATGGCCTGAGGAAGAAAGTAAAGAAAAACAAAGAAACAATATAGAATATATATGGCACCAAAATATTGCCTGATTTTGTCAACTAGCATGAGCCTGGGTAAAATGTCCAGCACTTCAGAGGCTCTTGGTGACACACACACATAAATGACCAACAACTCAGAATTTTCTGTGGAACCACAGGGTGCTGCCCTGGGCCTCACCTACAAATAAAGAAGATAAAATCCAACTTTTCCTGTTCAAAAATCTCTTAAGGAGACACAGTGAATGTGATAATACAGTGGCTTAGAAATCAAATCTCCCTCCATGAATTTGAACTCACTGTATTATCTAAACCTTATTTTCCCCTTTGCAAAGTGAAAATAGCACTCTTCTGCTGCCTTCCTTCTAGGGCATCTGGGATGGGAGAAGGGATTGTGTTTTAAATTCCTTATAAATTCAGAAAGACACTAGACATCTTTGGGTTGAGGCAAATTTTTCTGTTTTTAAGGGTCGTGTGTATCATGATGGGACAGTTAAAATGTTTCATTAAAGAAAGTGAAAGTGAAGGAAGATAAAATGCAATGACCAACAGACTCTTCTATTAACCTTCTATCAACACAACTTCATCTTTAAAAGACCAAGGGTGTTATGATACACTAAGATACCATCTGGGAGATGAAAGTTCCAGAGCTTTGGCTAATACCAGAGGGATGGCGCTTAGAAAAGAAGTAGGTAAAAGATTCCCATGGTGGTTTTTACCTCTGGTTTAATCAGGAAAAGTGCTTTCTTTGCAAAAGGATCAAGTTCATAAAGACATCTAGCACACTTCTAACCTGAAGTGAACAGCTTTGCAATTAATAACAAGGCTGCCGCACTGTTCCTTGCATGAGATGCGATGGCCCAGGACTATCAAGCAATCCTACTCTGAGAACAGGACTCTAAACCAAATGTTTTGCCTGAGGTTATACAGGAGAGCAAGAAAACAGCTGAAATTGAATTTCAGAGACACCAATTACCTAGGATTCAGGCTTTTTAGAGCAACTGGTGTCCACTGTGACCCCAAAGAATATTGGCTAGCTGTGAATCTGATTATACTTTGATGCAAAGAATGGGCTATGCACAGGCAAAGTAGAGGAATAATCAACAGAAACCTATGTGTTTATTTTAAAAACCTATCGGGCACCTCAGTTAAGAAGCTTGCTGCCATAGCAGTTGGGTCCTACCGTGGTCAGGCTTTTTTGTCAATACAAAAACCAGCTCATTATCTGGAGTGTCCAGGTCTTGCAGGCTCAGAGAAGAATTGCTTATCACCACTCCCGAGCTTAGCTGCACACCAAGGGGCCGCAAGGTCATCCTGGGAGGTTCATCGTTCTTCCTCTGATTAAAGCATAAAATATCAGGTCTCACACAGATATTGGTTTAAGAAGAAAGAAAATGCACCTTAGTCAACGAAAGTAACATTGTCACACCAACTTTCACTATCGAAATAGTACTGAATGTGTCACCATCTTTAATTCCCAATCAAAATGGTTCATTTGAAAGAAGAGCAAGTCACACAAGCAAAATATCTCCTTGGAAAGAAACTGACATTTTACAGAAATCTTCAAGATATTTTCCATGGGTACAATGATCATGTTTTTCAGACCAAAAATCTGGACATGGGGTTAGACAAGTACGAGTATATTTTGAGGATAAAAGAGCAAATTGCTTGAAATCAAAAGTGTCTTAGAAAACCCCAAGAGTATCATAGTACTGTAGGAGGGCACCATATTTAAGGGTGTGGGTTTCTAAAGCTGTCTCCCTGATCCCGCGCCAGGCCCCCTCTACCACTTCTGAAGGATGCTGATGGTCTTATCCCAGGGCAGAGGGTATTCCATTCTGAGTTTTATCTTTTACCTCTCTCTCTCCCTGGGTTGGTAGAGCAAGCTATCTAGTTGCTCAAATGAGAATAAATACAGCATCAAGGAACACGTTTCTTTGATGTTACAATTTAACAAATAGATGCATTAAAAATACAAGAAAAGGCAAGTATGCATCTAGAACTACATACAATAATTTCAGGGAAAAATAGCCATATGTTAGTTTTCAGCTAAATATGAGACTGACAGGGTTTCTCTGTCTGACCCTCACAAACTGTTTTCACACAGAATGAACACATTCTACCCTGACAGATTTCCAAGTCAGACCATCCCCAAATGCCAGCCTTAATTCTACAAGTTTCCTAAGGGTCAGGGTTATATTTTTAAATTGACCTCAAAAACTGAAGATCAAATGCAATCTTCTTTGCTTTTGAGCTCATAGAAAGCTAGCTAATGGTGGGATATTGTTGTCAAAGGCCCACTTTTCCAACTTCAAAGTCTTTACCTCAATGGTGATATTGATGCTGTGGATTTCTGAACGACTGTTTCCATCACTTACATAAAAACTAAAAATGTCATGGGTTGGCTCAATGCTTTCATGAACACTCTGAAAGTAGTAAATGTAGTTTTCCAGGACATCTTGAATAGGGAATGATGCCTCTAGGTCGCTGGCAGTTCCAGGGCCAAAACGATCACCTGTGCCAACATCAAGAGAGAACTTTTATCTTGGGAGGGATGGGCTGACTGGGTGATAGACACTGGGGAGGGTATGTGCTCTGGTAAGCGCTGTGAATTGTGCAAGACTGTTGA